CCACTGTCTTCTCTTGGGTGATTCAAATAACAGCATACTAACTGGTAGGAGGCATAGCAGAATTTTCAGTTTTCTCAAGTACTGTTGTGCCATGATCACTCTTATTTCTGGGCCTTGCATACTAATCTCTTCACCTAAAACACTTGACCTCATCCTTCCTATGACTGTAGATTTGTAGATATCTTAGAATTCCCTCATCCACCCCAAACCCCTAAATTTTGAATTCCAGTTCCCTTTGAGTACTCCAATAACATCCTCACCACTTCCTCATAGTACTTTACACACTGGGTTGTGATTATCCGGTTACCTCTCAGTCTGCTCCACCAAACTGTGAGTTCTTTGAGGGCAAGTGCCAGAGAACGGCATCCTGTCGGACTCATTTCCCTTCATATCCTTAGTGCCTTTCCCAGTGCCTGGCTCATTGTAGGCATTTGGGAACGAATGCAGAAGTTTGACTTTAGACCAGTGATTCTGAAAACTTGGGGGGTTCTCCTTTTTTGAAATTGAGACTATGATGACAGTATTAGTTTTCCAAGAAGAATGCATCTAAGAAATAAATTTTTATATGCTTTCTAGGTCTGTGTGTTTTCCTGTGGCCTCACTTAGAGAGGTCAGGGTGCTTACTGTGCCACCATGCTCACACCACACACGGACACATACACATACAGAAATAAAGTACAGAATTTATACTGTGTGCTGGGCGTTAGCCGGGATTTTCAGTTAAACCCACCTGCTTCCTATGTTGCAGCATTCCCCCCGCACCTCCATTTCCTAAATTGAGACCTGGTTTTATTAGTCCCAGCAGTTGAGTTGCTACATTTTCTTGTAAAACTTTGTTATTGATGGAATTTGCATTTTATTCCATATGTCCTTTTCAAGCATGTAGGTAATACTCTGAGCCAGTATGTATTTATAGAATGAAAATAGGCTTTCTGTTTTTACTTCCATATTGGCGGATCCAGAACCCGAAAGCGTGTAATTCCAAGGCTGCTGCTGATGGTTTTTGGTGAAGCTAACTGGGCTGTGAGGAGATCAATGCGCACATGCCCTTGGCCTCATTGCCGCTAACACTACAATCAACTGAGCCAAGAGGCCTCCGCAGAGGAGCTCTCATTGTATTCATTCATAAGTTATTCTTAATGATTTCATATCATACCTACTCTGTTTTTGAAACCAGGACCACGTGATCTCATTACCAGTTGCACCTGCACAGCTGTATCTCTTCCCCATGAACTTTCCTTTCTCTTTCCCCACAGTGGCAGCCTCTTCTGCACCTATAACAGACTAACACCCATGCCCGGAATTCTCTTCTCTCTTGCTCTTGAAAGGCTTTATTCTAGTATTAGCCTGTGTCTCCTGTATCATCAGTGTCTTATTTTCTACTTGATCATTTCCATTGATAAATAATGTGCCTTAGTATGTGTCCCTCGCCTTTAAAAAAACAAAATGGGTAGTATTTATCCATTTTAATTCACCTTTACTGCTTTATTTCTCCCCATTGCATCATACTCCTGGAAAAAGTTATCGATACTCATTGTTTCCATTTACTCATTCCCATTCTCTGTTCAATTGTTTCTTATCAGACTTTCTTGACATGGCACTCCACTGGAAGATTCCTTATCAAGGTCATCAGCCTCCATCTAGCAAAAGCCAGCTTGTCCATTCTCTGTCTTCATCTTACTCAACCTTTGTAACACCATTTGATAGAGTCAACCACATTATCTCCATCTTTTAGAAAACTCCTTTTTTCTAGGCTCCTGTAGTATTCCATGAACCTGTTTATGAGTCATGTCCTCTTCCCCACTCTTCTGCCTCTTCTCAGTTGCTTTTAGCTTCTCTTCCCCTGTCTGACCACCAAATGGTGGATTGTTCCAAGGCTCTCACTCAGCCCTGCTCTCTTCTTGTCTAGTTACTGTAGCTTTCGGGACCTCTTACCAGGTTCATGGCTCCAGAATCATCCACGTGTTGATGACTGTGGCTCAGAATTCTCCCCAAGTTCCTCATATGGATACTCAGCTGTCTACTAGACATCTCCACTTGTTTAATAGACATCTCAGGTTAATCTATAACACAGGAAACACCAACTCCTGCCTTTCTTTTCTCACCCAATTCTGCAATTCCCAAAGCCTGCTCTTGGTAAATGTCTACTACCTGTTACCCAATCCTTCAGCAAGTTCTGCCTGATCTCCTCACAAGATACCTGGCAGATCCAGTCCCTGCCTCTGCCTCTACCACCCAGATGCAAGCCATCATCATCCCTTACTTTGTGCTGCAGCAGCCTCCCAGCTGGTCTTTTCCCTCTACTCTTGCACTCTTCAGTTTATCTTTCACATAACAACTTAAATGAGAGTAGTTATCCCTGCCCTGCCTAAAACTTTCTTATGATTTCCACTTTTCTTAGAGTAAATGCCAATCCTTTTTCCATATTATTTTAATTGTCTTTATTTGTCTCCCTGCAGTGTAATAATAGGTTTGCTGAATATAGGATTTGTGTTGTGCACACTGACTCCTCAGCACATAGAACAGGCCTTGGAAGTAGTAGATGTTCAGTAAATATCTGCTGGGGAGCAGACTGTTGTTACAGAACATTTAACTTCATTTTATATAGATTCTGTAAGTTTATTATTTTATAGTAATAGAAATTAATTGCCCCACAAATGGAGTGAAAACCTGTAGTATTCATTTTGTAACTCGTCTTCCCCTTTTCTTAGTTTAATAACTATTACCCTGTAATTTATGATTTACATACTACATACCTTCTCCTTTGGTCCTTCAAAACAACCTTATAACTTATACAAACAAATATTAATGCTCTCCCTCAGCCCCCAAAGAAGTTAAGTGAGTTGCACAGGATTTCAGTAGGCGACCTCGAACCTAGATCTCTGAATTTCTAAGCCAGACAGCTTGATTGGTGTAGTGACCTAGGTGTGTGCTGGTATGAGTGGTGGTCGTATGGAAGAATTATAATAACCTTGAGCACCAGCTTCCTTTTTCCTTCCCAGATTCCCTCCAAGGTACTTTTTAAGCTACCTTTAGTTCTATGGCTGTTCTTTTCAGCATTAACATGAAATATTTGCCCCTGTTAGGACTAATATGTTAAGATTTGACCAATTATTTTTATAGTTACAGTGGAGATATTTAAAACTTCCAGTTTTGTATGTGTAATTAATGGTAGACTCTATTAAGTGTGAGCTAAACCGATAGAACCAATATCTTCAAGCGAATTTCGTAGGAAAAAAATGGACATTGATGGGGAGAAATAACAATCTTCTATTTTGCTATAAGGGTATTAAAATATGAGACAAACTTAACCTATTATCTAATAACATCCTTTCATAAAAGAAACAACATTTAATTTAAAAAGCAGCAAGCACATAATCTCAGAACATGTCAAAGTATAGTTCTTTAGAACAAGTAACTTTTGTTTTGTGGAAAACTTCACTACATTGATTCCTTTATCCCCCAATTAAGCCATGGACCAATATGAACTGTTTGCAGTCATGTGGGATCAGACAGCATTGCTCTAGTCCGAAGAAACATTGTGTGGATTCTCATACCATCCTTCCCCCTAAACGCAATTGCTACAATCCTTCACTGCCTTTCTTTCCATTGACTGTCTCAAAGCCCAGAGTTCTGGGGAAGTTTTCAGTTGATGACTTTTGTCGTGAGAAATCTAACATGCCTTCTCAACTGCCCAGTATGGACCAACTCTAACAGAGTTGGTAGTGAAAACATTCTCTGGAATGTTTTTGGTACCTTTAACAAAGCAAATAATTACTTTGTAATCTATGGATTTATTTTTCGTTGTTTATTCTAACAGTTTACTTTCTTTGTTCTCTCTTCTACTCTCTGCCTGCCTCTGCTTTGAGATTAATGGCTAAAATAAAGCAAGAGCCTTCCAGTAATCTGCTGTTTTCCTGTCTTCTTCCTTTGATGTTCTCTCAGAATGAGCTCTTGACCAAAAAAAAAAAAAGTTGAATTAATTATACATTTAAATTTATGATGCTAAATTAAAAGTTATAACTTTCTAGTATCTGTGCGCCCTTCTTTGGTATTCTTAAACAATCTGAAGAGAAATTTTGTTGGTCACTGATGTGTTTTCATACCCTCACAGTAATGTAAGTGTGTACATACTTTGCATTAGCTGATTTGGATATATCTAGTTTCGACCAGATCAAGAGGGTTAAATCAGAGGAGGACTTGTTTGATAGGGTGAAGGAAAGGCAAAATTGATGTTTATCCTACTCTCTCTTAACCTCCCTCATAGCTTTCTAATTCCATACTCCGGGCATTAAATATGTCTAACGTGTACCTGTCCCTTACAGTGACAATAGGTACAGTCAGTAGCACCACCTATTTCATCAATTGGAAATAAATCCTAAAAGTAAAACTTGAAAACAAAGGTCAGCTGAAGTCTCCTGTTTTTTATAGCTTGTAAATGTTTTTTATAGCTTGTAAATCTTTTATCAACCCAAGTATAACATATTTTAGTAGAAAAGTTTTAGAATGTGTGATAGATTATCTTTTCATTGTTCTTCAGTTAGTACGAGCGAAAAGCAAAGACTTTCACTGATTAAGTCAATCAAGTTTCAGTAAGTAAAGCAAAATATTTTTATATATTCCCCATTTTTAGAAGTAAACATCGTAAGTAAAGGTCAGGGGAATGTTTAATTCCAATATAAAAACCTTCGAAGTGTCCTATCAGTTCTGATCTGTAGCAGTCTACAAGATGGTATAAGATAGTATGATCAAAAATAAGCCATTTGAAAAAGTGAAAATTCTTAATCTACTTTTGAGTTACGTACTTAAAATGTTTTTTTAAAGTACTGCTCATGTTTTCAGTGATTTAAATTCCAAAAACAACACAAAAAATAAACCGTTTCAATAGGGTCTTATGCATTGGAACCTAAAGTATAAAGAATTAATGTGTTTTGAATAAAATAGATCTTTTCATTTGTAAGTAGTAAAACTGTTCTCTGAAATTTGTTTCTTTTTATTAGGTTTAAGTGGAAACCCTGCAGATATAGAAAGAAGAGAAGCAGCATTTGGAAAGAATTTTATACCTCCTAAAAAGCCAAAAACCTTTCTTCAGTTAGTATGGGAAGCATTACAAGATGTCACTTTAATTATATTAGAAATTGCAGCCATAGTTTCATTGGGCCTTTCATTTTATCAACCTCCAGAAGGGGATAATGCACGTAAGTAAATTGGGGAGAAAAAAACAACAAAAAAAGACGTGTGTGTGATGCTAAATTCAGCTCATTTGCTTACCTAATAATACTTAATAATAGTAGCAGGCCAGCAGTTACTGACTGTTTACTGTATACTAGGCACCATTCTAATTGTGCCTTTAGTAGTTCTTTACATATATATTACCTCGTATAATTTTCATAATAACCCTATGATATAGTGTCACCTCCATTTTACAGTGAGACACAGAAGTTACATAACCTGCCCATATACACATACAATGTGTCTGGCAAGGAGCTAAGCCATATATATAATGTAGTTTTTGCTATCACTGTTTTAAGTTCTTTAGAATACTACTGTGAAATCGTTTTTCATTTGGGGATTTTGTTTTGTTTTGTTTTGTTTTTAATCTGTTTGGAAAAGCATTCTGAAAGCAAAATTCTGTTCTCTTCCCCAGTCCATTACTTTTGAAGTTCTTAAAATGTGTTGTTGTTTGTGTGATTTGGGTAATTTCCTTGACATTCTAGAAATGTTTATACTACAGAGTATCCTGGCCAATGGAAAAATCCATTATAGAATGGTAGATCTGCTTTAACTTGTAGCTGCAAATGGTTTTGTTTTTCTCTCAGCTTTCTGTGGCCTTCATTTCTCTTTTAAATTTCCTCTCCTCCTTTTAAGAGATTTATTTAAAATGGATATTTCTGACAGTACATACGATAACTGCTAGGAAATCTAGTTTGGGTATTGGTCAATATATTTAAGTAGTTATAGAGTGAACCAACAGTATTTTGTCTATCAAAAGGGTTATTCACCAAAATAGTTTTGTTCATTAATGCTTCGTTTTTATGCCTTTCAAGTTATGAAGACTTTAATAAATACTTGCTAACTCGAAAAGTTGGCTGAGGTAATCATTTAAAGTAATTCCTTCAAAGGTATGCCTAAAGCCCATGTGAGAACTGTTGTGTTTTTTTTATGCAGACATTTGATCCCAGGAAAGGCCAGTTTACCTGAGATCAGTGTAGATCAGGGTTTCTCGACAGGAGGACTGTTGACATTTTGCATTGGAACATTCTTTGTTGCCATGTGCATTATACCAAATGAGGCAACCCAAAACGTGTACAGACATTGCCTAGTGTCCCAAAGAGGGCAAAACTGCCTCTGGTAGAGAATAACTGACAGAAATAAGAAAAGATTTAGGTAATGTTCTTGTCAGTATTGAGCCAAAAATATTTTTGAAACTTTTGTTTTTTTATTAAATAATACAATAAAATAGTACATGTTTTTGCTATAGAAAAATTAGGGGAAATGACAATTCAAAGGAAGAAATAATATTCACTGAAAATTCCACATCTTAGAGATTACTGCTATACCATTTTGATATGTATCCTCCCAGGTTTTTAAAAAAAATGTTTTTGTGTATATGTGTGTCTGTCTGTGCTCATGTATGTATGTGTTCGTGCGTGGGTAGGTGTGAGGATGTGTAAATGTGTGCATCTTTTTTATCTGAAAAAGGAGGTCATACCATGTTTAGCAGAATACAGCTAAATTCATTAGTGTTCAGTTTATCCAACTGTCGTTATGAATACTGGGAATTGGTATTCTAGGATTGGATGAGCTAGCAGATTATTAAAAACTTTTTACTTTTAACATTTTTTTTTACAAGACTATAAGAAAAACTAAAGAAAAATATTTTCAATGAGAGTGGATTTTATTACTAATGAGGTCTGGACAATCTTATGGAACTGGGACTGCTTCATTTGTAGGATGTAGTGACAGGCCCTTTCCCAAATTTGCTTAAGGAGATACTGGTATTAGATCCAACTGGGAAGATAATCTAGAGTTGTCAGGGTCATAAGGCCCTTTAAAGAGACTCAGAATCCACCAGAAGGTGTTAATAAAACATAAAGGCATGCTCGCTCCATGGTAAGGTGTTATTTAGTGTGTGTACTTCATTCTTTTTAACATTTATTAATGTACTCCATGTATCTTTTCATCATGTTATGTTTTAACACTGAGTAGTAATTTGCTTAAAAGGAAATCCATTCACTGTAAATCTGTAGTCCTAGAAATCTAAATTATCAAAATCTCTTACTGATATGGCTTGGGGTAAAAATAAGTGCTCTAACCCACATCATAATCTATATACTAATATACTTCTAGTGGTTCTGAAACTCCTTAGTCGCAGGGCCCCTTTACACTCTTGAAGTATTGAAGACTCCAAAGTGCTTTTGATTAGGGGAGTTATAGTTGTAGATATTTACTGTGTTCTTAATTAAAAGAGAGAAATTAAAAAATACTTATCAGTGCATTTTAAAATAACTATTGTTATAATAAATATATAATTATAATTACTGTGATTATTATTCACGAAGTTTTAAATAATGAGAAGAGTAGTGGTGTTTCTCATCTCATTGTATCTCTTTAATGCCTAGCTTAATTGATTATAACTGGATTCTCATCTTCCTCTGTATTCATTGTATCATATTAGCAAATGTAATAAAGTCTTTGGAAAACTGCACTATACATTCATGAAATATAAGGCAAAGTTTTTGTGAATGTTCACATCACCCCTTCCTTTTCATCCCCAATTGATCTTACTCATCTCTGGCTTCTCTCCCTTCAGCTGTCCCAGGTAACTCTCCCAGATTAATCTTTATTCAGTACCTTTGCCCCTCAAATCCTCTCTTCTGTTCATGCTCACTGTTCTGGAATATTCTTTAATCATTTCTAATGCTATTCATTTATTCATTCTTTTCTTCTGAATAATCCTTTTCCTGCCTTGCCTGTGCTAAGAAAACCATTGACTTTCAGAGGTTTCAACTCAGCCCTCAGTAAGAAAGAACTTTATGTAGGAACGCAGAAGAACATACACCTTCATGTGAATTTATAAATTACCAAAGTAAGCTTTCAGGAAACAGTATGAACCTTCACTGCGTGTTCTATTTCTTTCGATTTTGTTCTGTTTCATTTTTCAAAATGCTGGTCATGAGCCACTGAATTGATTTTAGACTCACAGATTATATAGTCCAAAGTCCAAAAAGCACTGTTCCATTATTCTTTCTTCACCGTTATTGACTCTACAAACTTAGTTTTAAGTTTGTTTTTTTCCTTTCCTGTCTTTTTTCAAACTCCTTTCTGCCATAGAGCCTTTGTGCCGACTAATCTGTCCCTGGAATGTTCTCCCCTTAGAGCTATATGGCTGGTTCCCGTTTTTCATTTGGCTCCTACCTCAAATGTCACAGACACTTCAGAGAGGCCTTCTCTGCTCACCCAACCACAATTAGCCCTCTTTGTTCATTTGATAACACATCTCCATGTTTTATTTTCTTCATGGCACTTACGCTACCTAATACTAATTATCTGTGTTTTATTATCTGAATTCTTATATTATCCAAGCCTAACAATCTGAACATGGGTTCTCTGAGGAGAGAGAGCTTATATGTCTTACTCACTCCTGTATCCCTAGCTACTGAAAGTGTCTGGCACCTAGAGTAGGTGCTTAAATAGGTGAATTAATGAGTAGCTCTTTGCTTAACTTTTCATGTTATGAAACCCAACAGTTGATCATACACCAGTAAAATTGATCTAGTAAGTAAGCATGCTTCATAGCACACAATACTTAATTTCTCATATGCGTTTTACCTACCATAGTAGTTATTAATAGCATTAACCATTTGTCAAGTGCAAAGGATGTCTCCGCCACTGCTCCCCTTCTTTTATAAGTGTCCTCTTGTTGAATCCTCACAACTGTGGGGAGCTGGTGGTATCCTAATTTGACAGGTGAAGAAACCAAAATATGTAACTTGCCTTAGGGTTGGGGTTTAATCTTAAACAGTACTGTAGAGTGCCTGCCTTTCCTGAGGCTGAGAATCTTCAGAGGCAGGGAAGTTGGAATTGACAGAATGAGCATTCTCGTCATTCTGGAATGCTTTGAGTTCAATGAGATGTTTAGAGCTATAAGTAAAATTAACGAGCTATATAAAGATCATAATCATTATATGTCTGTTACCATCAATTCAGAATCCTTTTTTGATTAGCCTTTTCTTTCTTTCCCAAATAGTTTGTGGAGAAGTTTCTGTTGGAGAAGAAGAAGGTGAAGGTGAAACTGGTTGGATTGAAGGAGCTGCAATCCTCTTGTCAGTCGTGTGTGTGGTGTTAGTAACAGCTTTCAATGACTGGAGTAAGGAAAAACAGTTCAGAGGTTTGCAGAGTCGAATTGAACAAGAACAGAAGTTCACAGTCATCAGGGGTGGACAGGTCATTCAGATTCCTGTAGCTGACATTACTGTTGGAGATATTGCTCAAGTGAAATATGGTAAGTCCAAAAGAGCAGTGGATCTGTCACAGGTATAAAATTATTATAATATTGTTGGCAATTTAACATATTATTGCTTTTCATTTTAGGTGATCTTCTTCCAGCCGATGGCATACTTATTCAAGGCAATGATCTTAAAATTGATGAGAGCTCATTGACTGGTGAATCTGATCATGTTAAGAAGTCTTTAGATAAAGATCCCTTACTTCTATCAGGTATGAATTTTCTTTATAACTTTTAATTTGTCCCAACAGCTGTACACCGTTGTCAGCAAACACGGTTTTTCCTAAGAGCCAATAATGTGAAGAGGATTCTGGATTTTATGCTGGCTTAATCCTTGTAATCCTTGGGGACTTTCTTTTTCTTTTTCTTTTTCTTTTTGGTATACTTTCAGAGACATTAGATATCTTTGAATCCAGAGTTATATTTTCACAAATGAGGACACTGAGTCCAAAAAATTCAAGAGATTTGATAGTCAGTGTTACTTAATGTTAGTGTAACGATAAAACTAAAATACACATCAAATGATCTCTATTGAATTGTTCTGTTTTTCTGTATCACATTTATATTTACAGCCTGTTAACATACAAGATTGAAGAATGATTATGTGTTTAAGCAAGTTAGTGAATTTTCTATGATGGTCGACAAAGGATGGGTTTTCTTTAAAGAACTGATAAAATCTTTAAAGTTAATTTAATCCAGTCGTCTCATTTAACTACTGAGGACTGAATCTGAGACATAAACTATTTATCTGAGATTATATGACTAATCAACAGTGCGCCCAGGAGTAGTACCACATCTACTGGGCAGGATTAAATTTGCACGTGGCTAAGACATGTTCTGAGAAGGGAAGGATTTGTATGGGTGAAGGTACTATTTGAAAAGGGGAGGAGGTGGGTGTCTGTTGAGGCTCTTACAGCAGCCTGACTGTGATAGCTCGACCTAAGGTTAATTGGAAACGAAACAGAAGGAATGATGGGAACAATTCCAAACTGCCTTCTAAAATACATTAGATTGAATTATACTAAAGTTTGGAGGAAGCAAAATGTGGCTTATTTGTTTTTCTATTACCATTCGGATGTTAATGAATAATGCCAACATTTTATTCATTGTAAGGAGATTCCTGCTGATTTAACTGTTTAATAACTCGGCAGCTATAATTTTTCAGTTCGTCTCTGTGAATTTTATATTTTAATTGTTTGAACATGGTTTTACTGAAGTCAAAGTCAAACCTATGACAAGGGTCAGTTACTGTATTTCCCCATGTATAAGACGCTTCCATGTATAAGATGCTCCCATGCATAAGACGCACCTTAATTTTGGGGCCCAAAATTTGAAAAAAAATGTATTACATAAAGTTATTGAACTCAAGTTTTATTCATTTGAACTCAAGTTTTATTCATCATGAAATTCATACAACTCCTCATCACGGTCAAAACTCCCAGCCATTAGCTTGTCCTCATCTGTGTCTGATGACGAATCACTATCTTCATATATTGCCTCGTCCTCAGTTCCATCTATGGCATTTAAAATCTACAACCACTGTATAAGACGCACCCAGTTTTATGACCCCAAATTTTTCGAAAAAGGGTGCGTCATACATGGGGAAATACGGTAAGTTAGAATCACAACTTCAGGGCACATACCTAGCTTTAACAATTACCTTTTTAAGATTTGCAAATATGTGCCAAAAGCTTACTGTGGAACATTCCACTGTTAAAAATTCGAGTAATTACATGTATGTACATTTATAAACACCATTATAAATAGGATAACATTTCTTCTTAAAAACCTTGAGATTTGTTTACCTTCAATATTCTTCACCACTAAGAACATTTAATGTACTCTTTTGAGGTTTTTATTTATATTGATGTGCTTGTGATTTATTCCAAATAGAAAAAATAATTTGTATATATAAGTATAATGTATTTACATATAATGTATACTTATTTTACTTACTCCTTGCCGTACGTCTAAGAAACTGTAGTTACTGTTAACCAAATAAAATCTATAATCGTTCCAGAGGGGAGGGAAGCTACCCTGTTTCCCTGAAAATAAAACCTAGCCGGAAAATAAGCCTTTGCATGATTTTAGGTGCCAAAATACAGCACCTTGGCATACTGAATATTTTAAGCTGAAGGAGTTTGTGGAAAAGGCACCCTTCTCCCTGAAACAAGTCATAAAATCCTCCTGTGAGAAGTGCGTGCCCTCCGTATCATGGAGGAATCATGCTGCAGCTTATTCTCCTGCTAGCTCTTATTTCTGGGGTAGCACAGTATCTAATCCTTACCTCCATAGACTAACAGGACCATATCTGATGAACTGAGTCTTCTCTTGCCTTTTTGCCATAGATACTCCATGGGCTTCATGTACATCTAGCTTACTTACATAGTGCTTAGCTCTTCGGGTTGACATCCTTTAACTGAATTTTGGGCCTTTCCTGTTTTTATAGAGATGGCTGCTAAGTTTATGTGTACTCAGGTTCCTAATACAAGTTCACCAAGAGAACTCTATAAATTTTCCATGCTGGAGAAAAGACTGAAATAACTTTGTCGAGTCCTTTATCGTCGTACGGGTGGGAAAGTTCTGCATTTATTTCTCTATTCCAAAAATGTACTAAAAAACATGAAATGCATTTATTTTTAAATTTATTCTCATGATGCCATCTCTCATTGCTGTTCTTGGCTTCTTAAATTTAGATTTTTAAAAGCAGTTTTTCAGTTAGCAGTGGGGATATGCCCAGAACAGGAATTGTTTACTTTGAGCACATTAACGGCTAATATATGATTACCTGTGATAAGAAAGAACAAAAAATAGGAAATTGAAATCTGCCAAAAGACAGAATTGTTAAAAAAAACACAAAAACTATCTTTTACACATAATACTTGCTCAGTAAATATTGTTTCATTATCCTAAATTTCATTTCTTGTTTCACTTGCATTTTCACTGGCAAAGAAGCTAATAAATTAGTGAAATATTCAGAATATAAATTTTTAAAGCAAGAAAACCAAAGGCCTGAAACATTCATGTTGGATAAGTTACTCAGTAATTAACAGCCAAATATTATCTCTTAAGTATTGAAGTAAGTACATGTGCTTTATGTTCTTGTTTAGCAGATAACCTTTGCACATGGATTTGGTACCTAAGATGCTGGGAGGTGCTAGAGACCCTGCCTTCCACGTGTTGGTGAACTAAGAGATCAAATAAATAAGTGATAACTGTAAAGAAGACTTCACTGAGAGTTAAAAAAGAGTGAAGTTTTGAAAGCTACTTAAAATTCACCCAAATACTAGAGAGGTGGGAAGCCATTTAACAAGTGATAAAGGGGGCTGAGGTGTGGATGTACGCGTTGGAGAACTGTAAGCAAGTTGGTTGGCATTATGTTGTAAGACGAGTGTGTCCTCTGTCCTCTGGCGGAGCTGGATTGAAGCCTTGCCTTGCCACTTACTAATTGTTTACCCGGTGGCACACTTCTAGAAAATAAGAATAACACCACCTGCCAATTTGCAAGATTTTTGTGAGGGATGGAGTCAGAATTCAGTCAGTGTTCCTGTCTCTGCTCCCTCGCTTTCTGTAATTCCATTACAGGAAAAGTGTGAAAGGTTGGTTGGTCTCAAGGTGAAGACGTTGGACTTAGTCCAGTGGGCAGTGTAGAGTCAGAAGTTTTTGAGCCGCCAGAGGCTTATGATACAGATACCATTTTAGGAAAATTCAAACTGATTTTGAGATGAACTGGAAAGACAGACTAGCTAGGAGGATAATTGCAATCATCTAATTAGGCTGGGATGGAAAACCTGGGTTAGGTCGTGGGGTTAGGTCTGGGAAATGTGACATTTGATGCTACAGGATCCCTTTGGTTTTAAGCACATTTCTTTTATAAGCAGTGTATTTCTGAGAGAAATGTCCCTAATGATGATGATGGTCGTGATGTTATAATTAAAAATACTGAGCATTGGGCCGGCCGAGTGGCGCAATGGTTAAGAACTCGCTTGGGATGCCAGAGGGCCCCGGTTCGGATCCCACATATGAGGGCCAGTGACACTGCCCTCTGCAGCTAAGATGCTGAACAACAGCTCAACCTGGAGCTGGGCTGCCGTGAGTCGCCGGCGACGGCGTGGGCTGCAGCCCCTGTGGCAGTGGGTTGCCATGGGCTACCGTCTGTAGCCAGCAGCCAGCGTGAGCGGCCAGCAGCCAGCGTGAGCGGCCAGCAGCCGCAGTGAGCCGCCGTCCAGAAGCCGGCAACTGATCTGCCTCACCCTGGAAGAGCGCAATGATGGTGCCAACTTGGGCCAATGAAGCAACGTCCTCCACAACTAGACTGAAGAACAAAAAACGACAGCAACTTGTCTGTTCCCCCTCCCCCAATTCCCCAGCACTGTTCCCATCCCCCCAATTCCCCAATAAAAATCTTTAAAAAAAAAAAAAAACTGAGCATTTATTGAACTTCTACCAGTTTCAGGCAGTGTGCTAACCACATCATCACATTTATAGGCTTAAGTCTCATGGATGAAGTGTGGGTACTGTTATCTCCATTTTATGGATGAGGAATTGAGATGTTATAATTTGCCCAGTATCACATGATAACTGAGTGGTTTGAGTGAGTGTTGCACCTCAGATATGACTGATTACAGAGTGAGAACCTTAAGTATAATAATTTAGGTTTTATTTAATGTCTTATTTATTGAATTTTGTTACAAATTAAGGATGTTAAAGACAATATTACTAAAGTTGGAAATTTGGTAGTAGCAGGAAAAATCTGTTCTGATTTTTAAAAGCAAGTTTTTTGTTGTTGCAGGTACTCATGTAATGGAAGGCTCTGGGAGAATGGTAGTTACCGCTGTAGGTGTAAATTCTCAAACTGGAATTATCTTTACCTTACTTGGAGCTGGAGGTGAAGAGGAAGAGAAGAAAGATGAGAAGAAAAAGGAAAAGAAAAGTAAGAATGGCAATTTGCTATAAGAATTGGTATTTGGAAATATGGCAACTAAATTCTAAGAACTGGTACAAAACATACACTTCTTTCATGAGATTTGATATGAAAAGTTCTACAAAAAGCTACAAAAAGTTACAGTGTTACCCAAGAGTGTACTTTTAAGTGGTAGAATTACTGGAGGGAAATTTTTTCTTTTAGATTAAGAGTCCATGAAGGGCATTTAGTGAATGCATTAGCTCCTTTACCATGGCGTAAATTCATCATCTTGAACGCTTTCATTGCCTTTATTCTCTAGTTTTAGAGTCTTCCTGTCATCTGACCAGAAAAATGAATTGAACTCACACTTGTTACGTGATTATTTTTTCTGCTATTTTAGTAGTAGCTTTCTTTGTTATCCTTATCACATTTTAGTCTCATTGAGCTCTTAATCTCTCTCAAGTACTTTACTATTCACATTTCCCAGTTTGTACTTATGCTGTTGGTTTTTGAACATAAGACCAAGACTTCACTTTGACACCCATTAATATTTGTCATGTTATATTCAGCCCATTGTGAGATATCAAGATCTTTATTTTGATCTATTGTATCTCCAAGTGATCTGTCATCAGCAAACTTGGTAACCCATAGTTTATCCATAAGGATCTTACAAGAAACTTCGTCATGCATAGGGAGACAACTCAGAATCACTTACTGGGGAGCGTGGTACTTTTAAAAAAAAAAGTCCTCCCTACCCTGCTTCTAAGTACTTGTTGTACTACCCTTCCACTCAGGATCTTTCCTCCAGAGTTTTTGTCCTTTATGCTGACAGCACTTTACTGTGGTCTAACCGCTTAGATTTATTATTTAATTTTACTTAGAATAGTAAGCCCATATTTTTCTCATAAATGTAAGTATTTTGAGATCTAAAATAAATGCAAAAATCTTGGTTTGCTATAACTACAACAGTGTTTTTAATATTTGGGTGTTTTGTTTTGTTCTTTGGGTTTTGTCTTTAGCTGTGAAATCTTTGTCTCAAAGAGAAATGTGTTTGACAAGTTCTGGCTGCAAGCGAGGGCAACAAGCTCCACATTCTAGGTGTTCCTTATCCCACCCTCACCACAGCCGCCATGTGCTTCCTTAGGTTTCCTCAGGTAGAGTGGAAGGCAGAGTTTGAAAACCAATGGTAACACCATTTATTGAATGCTTTACATGCGTTATCTCATTAATCCTCACAGCCATAAGATATAAAGATTCTTACTCTTTTTATTGATGAGTAGTCTCAGGTTTATCTAGGTTATACAACTTGCTCCAGATCACAGATCTAGTAAGTAGCAGATCAAGCCCACTTGCCTGACTCATTAGTCTACTGTTAACCATACACTGTGCTGCATGTGAAATTCTAGGAGTCTAAAGTCAGAAGGCCTTGTTCATAAAGAAAGGGAAGTTTTGTCATGGCTTTATTCTTATTGATCCCACAATGGCTTTCCCAGTATGCACCCTTTTTTCCCTAAGATTTTATACTCCTGTTTTTATTAACTGAGTCAAAAGTATCCCCAGGAAGTAACATCTAACTCATTGTCTATCGTTTTTGTTCTTTTGTTTTTTGTAGACCAGGACACCATTTTTCCATCTGTGGACTTCCAGCCCTCTTCCCAGTCAAAAGCAGTCCAGGGTGGGGTAATCTGTCTCAGTTCCCTTAGTTGTCTGGAATGTGGCTCTGGGGTCTCTCTCCAAACTTGAGCTCATTAAAAGTAGCTAGGTGTTCTCTTGCTATCTCCTCCCCTATCTTGAGCCTCTGTTCCCTCTTGACCATATTTGTTGCACGTTTTCCAGTTTGAAGATAGCTCTGTTTGTTAGAGAAGTTAGAAGAAAAATAGGCTGAATGGTTCTGCTTCCTCTTTGTCCTTTCTAATACTATCCTGCCTACTCCAAACTATAGAACCATTCCCTCCTTGACGGCTTTATTGCTTCAGACATTCTCATCTTTCTCTTTTCTTTATATCTAAGCCAATTATTGGAATTATCTCAACTGGAAGTCTTACTCGCTGATTCTGTACATTCATATTCTAGTGTCACTTAGCTGGCTCCCTTATTGTTTATACATACTATTTTTGTTCTCATTCCCATCGAAGTTCTCTTGCTTATTGTGTTTCTATGACATTCCTCCCTTCTTCTCTACCCCAGGCCTTTTCTCTTTTCTTAGGATTATGTCTGTATTTAGTTTGAAAACCTCTTGTACCATATTTGGGTTTATTACAGTGTAAAAAATAAAAAGTAAAGTCTTATGGAGAAATCAAACAAGTATAGATGCCAAAATTATTTTGGAGTATTCCCCTATGGTTACGACCTAGGGAGCGATTGACCCAGCAGGTCGTTACAAGCCAGATGCTTTCTGATCTGTGTACACAAACACACACACACACACACACACACACACACACACACACACACACACACGTACCATTGTATAACAATGCTGTTATAGAAATGTGAACTACCTTTGCATAATTTAGCATGGCTGTATTCATTTCTTTTGGAAAGCTTTAATTCCCATTTTGTTCCTACAGATAAGAAACAAGATGGAGCTATTGAGAATCGCAACAAAGGTAAATTCAGTAGGATAAAAGTGCAGTTAACTTCTTCTCATTGTGTCCAAAAATATACCTACCATGCACGGTATTTATCCAAAAGTGTAGGATACATTAGCAGGGAAAATAACAATACATGTTAACTTGGGTTAGCCTCTCTTCCTGTCACTGCCTTAGTCATGCTGCCTTTATAATGTTAATAAGATTTTAATTGCGATTTGTGGTATAGTAAGTATAGAAAAATCCAGATGTAGGTAGCTTTCAACTTAAGTTTTTGGGTATTTTAACTTTGGTTACTATATAATTGCTAGCCAAAATGCATTAGAAACAAAATATATAATGCAATGTTTTTGTATCTGTTTAAGAGTCTGTAAACATATGCACAGTTCTCTATATGTAAGGTCATACATAGTGTTCTATGTGATGGTCATAAATTATATGGAAGGGATTTGTGGTGTTATGAGTAAGGCTCATTACCTAACACACCACAGGGGAAGAGAAATGACTTGGTATTTAGTTTCTAGTTGAAGGACCCTGTGTGTCTGCCTGTGCTTCATCCCTGTTGTCTAGCGCAACATGCTCAATTATGGTGCACAGTCTCACACCAAGTGTCACTGTTGTCTTGCTCTGGGTAGACATACACATGTACAGGTACAAAGCTGCCTGTTTAAATGTGTTTTCTAGTTTTTGAAACAAATTGATTTTTATCAAAAATTGCTTCCAAGTGTCAGTAGTTAGTTACATGTGCGTTTAAAAGGTAGTGAAGTTACATTTGCTCTTAAATGTAGCAAAAGCCCAAGATGGTGCAGCCATGGAAATGCAGCCTTTGAAGAGTGAAGAAGGCGGAGATGGTGACGAAAAAGACAAAAAGAAAGCAAATTTGCCAAAAAAGGAAAAATCTGTTTTACAAGGGAAACTTACAAAGCTGGCTGTTCAGATTGGCAAAGCAGGTATGATATATGAGGCGTTGGATTCTAGAATACTCTCTGATTAAAATCCTTTTTTGACACACTTCAGGCTGGAAAGCTTTTCTTTTTTAGTGGAAGGGGAGTTGGAAATATTTCCTGTTTTATCCACAGTGTATATCAGGCCTTTTAAGTTATTGTCGAGCCTCATAATATCATGGCAGCGTAGAGGCTGTCATTCCACTTTATATAGAGGGAAGCGTCCTTTTTCAGCTAGCTAATAAGTGGTCAAGTTAAGATTAGCCTAAATCTGCCTAATTCATAAGCCTATGCTCTCATTTCTGAACTTCTGGGAGCAATGCAGAGAGGGCTAGAAGAGAAGTTACCCCATACAGATTACCCAACTGTATTTTAATATAAAGAAATTTCACCACACATTTGGTTCATCTTTTTATTGACCATTTATGGAAAATTTAGGTACGTGTGTTTCTAAAAGTTATAGTTCAGTTAAATTAAATGGATTAATTAAAGAGCCACCCTGGTGAGGCTAAAATTGCTAAATTGCTGGCATCACTAGAAAACACCTATTGAGAGAACCATTCTAAAAAAAAAAAAAGCAAAACTCTTAAATAAAAACAGCATGCCCTCCAGCAGCAGCATCTTTGCAAAAGAACACCTGTATCTAAATTAGCATATACTATTAAAATCGCTTATATAACATCATTCTATTACTTCCTAGGAATATGTTAGAAAAAATTAAGTTTTTGCTTCTGTCCCCAAGAAGCTTATTATCTAATAGCAAACATTTGCTTTTTTGTAATATATAACCAAATGGTAATACTGACTCTTTAGAGTTGGAGAAAAGGGTGGATTTGAGATAGTGATGGTATTTAGTAGGCACTGGATTGGGT